TTCCGCTGTGGTACCTTGACTTTGTTTTCCTTACGCCAAGAGATGGCAAGGACGCGCCTGCGTTTATTGGCCGCCAACTTACAGATGAAGAGCGTGGGGATGAGGGGCGCGTTATTACCGCCCAGGGCCAGCGCTGGGAGGATTTAACGACATTCTCACAGCGTGTGAAGTGGGCCTTCCGGCTGATGCTGCCTGTGCATAGGGGAATTGGATGGAATTGGCAGGTGAAAGGTGTTCCTGCGGATCCGTATGCAAAGCTGCCAAGGCGGCAGTACGTGGGCTGGCAAATGTGGTGGGCGGTGTTCCACTACGTGCAATCTATGGGAGCGTTGGCCGGACTGGGTCTAGGATGTGCCTTAAGAGCGCAAATTAGATCAGATGAGCTACTCAAGACAGTTGTCGTCAATGCCATCGTGGGATGGTCGGGTGCGGTGTGGGTATGGGATAGGTTGAATTGTGCGTATCGACTCGCGGCTGCCCTGGGTGTTGCGTCAGGAGCGACAGAAACTTGGGAATGGCCGCCTCTCATGGGGCCATTGAAAGACGCATGGAGTGTGAGGCAGATGTGGAGGTATGTGCCGAACCCTACATAATGATGCTAAGAGAGATGCTTACTGACACATATGCAGTGCAACCTATCACCAGGTATGCCGCAGGGTGAGTAGAATCTCGAGACAACTGCAATCCAAGAGATGCTCGTGCTAACAGAACATGTAGCTGCTATCTCAACCAGCAAAACGTCTTGTTCGTCTCCTACGTCTCCGCAAGGGTGGTCTAGCGTCCCGCTACAGCCAATTGTTCATCTCGTTTGGGATAAGCTGCCTTTTCCACCAGGCCCAGATGTTCAATGTCACCCGTCACGACATGGGCGAGCTGGCCTTCTTCATGTCGCAGCCTTTGGCCATCGTAGCGGAGGATCTGGTGCGCTGGGCATGGAAGAAAACTAGCATCTCCGGAAAGAGCAAATATTTTGAGAAGGTGGTCGGGTATAGCTGGACCTTTGTCTGGTTTTCGATCAGCCTACACTTATACATAAGTGGACTTGTGCAGGCGCGCGTGATGAAAGACTGGCTGTTTGGATACAGGCCTTTAGAGATAGGTGCTGATGCTGGACAGCAGCTACTTATGTGGTTACGAGTATAAGCTGAGTAGTATCGGCGCTAGGGCATGCTGTGAGAGACTTCTACCCATTTCTCACCAGCCTTCGGTACATATCAAGTCCAAGATATCCCTCTCCACTCCACTAGGTGTAAGTTAGACTTCCTTTCTAGGCCTCCGAAATAACACTAAACCTTTTTCTCTACGACTAGACAGGGATGCATTGCTGAAGGGGCGAAAAGCGGCGTTGACGAATCCATAAACAGCACCATAACCACCACGAGTTTCTTCGTCAGGAACTAATATATAAGAGTTCAATAGCCGTAAAATTATGGACATCAATTATAGCCGTATACATCTGTGGGAAAAATTATGGGAGATCTCAAAGTCAAATCTGTTTCGCTACACCATGCGTTTCGCGACGAGAGGATTGACGTTAGTGATTAAGAGACCCAAATTACAAACCCGTGCCAGTTGGTCAAGAACACTAGACGGCAAGCCGTAGACAGATCAAAACTCCMTAACACCCGCTATATTTTTTACTTGCCTGCCGCTTGTTCCATTCGCTCTAGCTCGAACGTCGTTCAGCGTCTTTGAGCTTGGTAGTTCGCTTCCATTTGTGGGTAACTCGTCCATTGTTCCTTTGCAGGAACACTTGGCGGGGTACGGCTCTGGTCGAGCGCGTCGAACAATGACGTTCGTTGATATGCCTTTTATATCAGAGGATGTCAAGAGGGAGTGAAGCAGTAAGCGCTTTTCACATCTGACACACTTTTCAACTTTGGGTCTTCTTGGGGTATGGAAGAACAAATACAAATGTCAACGAGCTCCATTGAATCATCTAAAACAAACGACTTTCTGCAATAGACAAGCCTGCTACTAACTGTGTAGATCCACCTAGACGAAGCTACATATTTGGATTTCGAGTTCACCTACGCTGTTGTGGCAGCGCGGTTTCCATACTTCCCAAATATTCAATATCAAGCTCTGCGGACAGTCTAGGTATTCAATTATCTCATCCGACAAGCCAAGCCATCCTTCTCACTGCAAGATATCTCAAGAATTGCGTGCGCCAATTGTGCTGGTAAACAGATCAAGGAGTAGAGAAGATGCATCCCGCGCAGACTCTGAAGTAGTCCCCTAAGTTCCTTTCGCGACTACCAACGACGAGTATAATTCAGACATGCCATGGTCGAGTCATGCATCCTGCAACGGGAAGCTCGTGATATCATTGGCCCAAATCCATTTCGAAATGTAGTAAAGGCAGTAGTAGCTCGAAAAGGGGGGCGGATTCCGTGCGGAGCACTTGGAGCGTGTGCTAAACCGCTTGATGTCGAGCACCCCAGGTTCAGAATTGGAGGATCTGGTCACCGCGAAACAGTGCAAAAAGTGAACATGGTAAGGGATTGGTACGCGTAATGGAGGGGCCTCAGGTCGGAGTTCGCTGGTTGGAACAAGCCTGAGACTGGCGAAGCGCCTGGTGGATTGGGATGAGAGTATGGTATTGAATATGCTCTCCGCCAAGCGATCATCAATGACTGCGTTGATGTACAATGCTCTGATTTCCCGGACTTTAGCAGAGCCGTAAACGGCGAGATGGACCGGTAGAGGGGAAGGATCTACATTGTCATGAGGGTTGCCTGCACTGGGGAAGCAATCGAGCTTTACGCAGAGGTGCACCAGAGAAGGGAAACGACCGAGCGCTTTGTAAACCTTTACCTCGGGAGCTAGACCCTGCACGCGGTGGACAGTGAGGTGCAGCTCTCGGAGGACGGGGCACTTTTTCGCAAAACGGGCAATTTCCTGCGCGTTGTAGTATGGACGGGTCTGTCCCTGCATGTGGACATTGTGGTGAATGTTGCGTGAGTCTAGTCCGAGGCTCTTTAGGGAGGCACCGTGTCTGGACAAGACCTTGCTGATGAAGGATGCGTTGCGGTTCCCAACCAGCCAGAGACCCTTGAGCGGTGGCAATGCCTTCATCATCTCTTCCACTGAGCGCCAGTACTCGAGGCTTCTCCTGGGGGTCGCCCGTAGGTTGAGTGAGAGCCGTTCGAGACGCTGAAAGGACGGTGCAGCCGCGCAAATCGTTCGAGCTAGTGTGGGTTCATCAATACGGCCGATGCTCAATGTACGCAGATGTGCTATGTCTGTATTCTGACACCATCGGTCGAAGCGCTGGACAGACATCGGGGTGTTTAGGGAAAAGGACAAGGTTTCGAGACGGGCAACGGTATTGGATGCTCCATCAGTCGGCTCGAAGGCGTAGATACGCTGGTCGACAAAGTCAATCTCTGGCACCAGTACGAGATCGATCTTTTTCAAATTTGGAGCCAGAGACAGTGAGCGCAGGATGGCCGACTCGATCACCTCGTCATTTCCGGCGTTGCGATAGTAATAGCAGCGGATCGAGTGGAGGCACTGCGAGGTGACCACGGCCATATCCCTATCGCTAAGACCTTGGTATTTCCAAGCTTGGAGGTAGAAATAGAGCAGGTTCAGCTTGCAGGAAGGGTGGTATTTGTGTAGAGCGTCCAGAACTTCTTGTGGGAAGCGCAGAGCACGCACCCAGTTCACCTCTCTCAGGTTCGACACGGCCGCGATGAACCTAGCGAGCGGGGCATAGTCGGGGGTAGTGGTTTCCCTGCGACAAAGCCGGAAAGTGTGCCTTTGCCAGAGCTCACGATCGAGGAAATCATCCAGCATGATAGGTCCCTCTTCGTCTTCCTGCAAAGCAGCTAGTTGGAGGCTTTGCTTCCCGCTTCGCCCGACGAGGTCCAGATCACGCAGGTATCGAAGGTATTGCTTGCGCAGGGGATGTTTCAGCAGCTGTTCAACGTCTGCTTGAAGTTCCGCCGTCGTAGTGAGGCATAGCTGCAGTCTTTGGTACAGGAGAGGCACGGCAGCCTGGTACCAGGCACGGTCCACAAGACTTAACTCTTGCAAAGTCTTCCGGCTGGTTTCCATAGCCTAGGTGTCTTATGTCAGTGGGCTCATTCATTGAGGAAATGGAAGACTTACTGATGCACATATCATGCGCTTGATCTCAAAGGGAAGCTGATCCATGTTTGCGGATCTGAGAGATAGAACGAGGAAGGAGAAATGACTTTCGGTGGCCTGTTTTTTATATCAGAGAATGTCAAGAGGGAGTGGAGCAGTACGCGCTTTTTCACATCTTCACACTCATGCACGCTGAATTCCTTCTTTGCATTCTCTTACCCACTACATTTGGTGATGTGGATTTTCGCACATCTTCATCTTCCTTCAGGGCACTCTTGCTGAGATGAACGCAGCTTTGGTATAAAGCCTGCACTACAGCACCATGAAGCGTGGGAAAGACCCTGAGAAGGATAACAAAAAGCTGCTTAGGTGACTTGAGAGCTTATCACAGTTGTGAACGATACAGGAAGTTCCAAAGCCAAGAGGCCATGTACTGGAGGGATAGTCTTATTCCGACGAGGTGCCTTCCATAGCAACCAAAAAGTAGAGGTCATTCCCACCAAGTCCATATCAGGAGTGACTGAACTCTCCCACGGCTCTTTCCCTCTCAACCAGGGCAAAGTCCACAGGACACAGATGGTTGAGAACGTCAACGGCTGTTGGTTAACCTTCTTCGTGCCCGGCTGTGGAACTTTTTTTTTGAAGAGAGTCTAGTATTTCACTTCCGAGTGCGTTTGCGGTTTAGAGGCTCCTGTATCAAAGCTAGGGAATTGATACTAATCACATTGTCTGGACATGTCGTAACCTCAATGCTTCTTCTGAAATACAAGTAGCTTCGCCAGATAGTGCAGTGTATAATAGATCCTGTGACTAGCTAGACTATAGAGAAACTAGTAATACCAAGCAATAGAGCATCACTAATACAGGCGACCAAGTTGAGCTAGGTATCGCCGTATCCACATCATCTAGCAATGGGCAACGCTGGGAACATTGCTGCAGTTACCGTAGGTCTTGCCGCCAGTCACATCGACGTTCGTCCAGGTCCAATTCGAGCAGGCCCCACTGCCACAGACGATAGCGACATTGTACCCGCTTGACGAAACAGCGCCTGCACCACTGATGTTCTCGACGATCAGGTTGGTGATGGGGATGCCGGAGGTCGGGCTGCCTTTGAGATCGCCGCCGTTGTAGTTCTGCTCGATGAGAACACCGTACCTTGATGCTGTTAGCTTGTATTCCCGTCGGCTATATAGGTGAGTTAGAGGGAACTGACTTGCTGATGGAGCTCAGGGTGATTCCTGAATAGGTGACTCCCTTGATTGTACCGGTGTCGCCTACGGTGGCCTTGACGCGGATACCTGTGCCATATTTAGTAGTGTACGTCTGTTGAAACATCGGATGAACGTACCGTTGGCAGATTTCGTGACCTGGGAGTTCGTAAAGGACACGGTATCGACGGTATTATCGGAGCGGCCACCAACGCTGCCGATCGACAAGCCATGGCCACCGGAGCAGAGCCCACCGCTAAAGGTGATACCCGTGCCAGAGTTGACAGCAACACAGTCATCCTGGTTGTAGACCTTCGCGCCTGTAATGACAACGTTGGAGCTGGATCCAATATCGAAGCCGTCGGTGTTGTGGCCTCCCTGAGAGTCACCGGCGGAATCGTCAATCGTCATGTCGGTGATGGTCAGGCCGTTGCATCCATTGATGCTGACCGCCTGCAAAGGGGTGTTCAGGATATGCAGATTGGTGATGGACGACGAGGTGAGACCGTGCGCAGCGAAGAATTTGGGCTTCGTCACCCCGCCACTGCCACCCTTGCCGTCCCACCAGCGGGCGCCGTCGGGGTTCAGAGTCGCACCCGACGCACCCTGCACCTTGATGTTGTTGCCGGATATCTGCAGCAGGGGGCCCGACCACGCTTGGTAGCCCCAGGTGGTTTCGCCCTCGAAGATGACCTAAGGTAATTAGAACATTGTCTAGATGGATTGGGTAAAGATGGGGTCCCTACTGTGGTACCATCTGCCAGACTACTGAGATCCAGCGTCGTGCCAGCGGGAACAGCGACGTTCGACAGGACGATAGTTGAGCAGGCCTTCTGAGAGGCCATCGCAGAAGCGGCACCGCTGGACCCAGAGAACGTGCAAGTCGCGCGCTTCTCCAGAGTCCTAGATGGCGCGATAACTGGCTCAGCGACGGGAGAGGCAATCACCTCGGCCGCAGAGGCAAGAAGCACGAGAGAGCCGATTAGTTTCAACATTATGATGGCAATTGCACAAAGAAAAGCTTTGTTGATGGTTTGCAGACAATCACTGCTCCTCTGCTCGCTGATCCCTTATATACAGAATACCACGCCTATACCTGGCGACCTCGTTTCCGGCACTATGAAGAGCTTTAGTTCCCCTCTAGGCTGCAAAGAGGAGCTGTTCATCGTTTCTCCTCCAATACCCCATCATAGTCCCACTCTGGCCCTTCTCCATTGGTGGTAAATATATTTCTGCAGGAATGAAACAACACCTAAGTCATATGAAGAAAGCTTGTAAGGCGGAAGAAAAGCACAAGCATATCCGTGCAGCAGCTTGCTTCCGGGGAAACGTGGAGAGCGACCAATTCAAAAGAGAGCAAGGGGCCAAGTAATGCACTTCATAACATCAATATTCAGGGTCTTTGACCCCTGAGGGCTGCGTCGGTGTCTCGGCTGACCCCAACATTATTTACCCCAGACCGGCTATGTCGCTTTTTTTTTTCCACCACTCGATTTGCCGTGCGGAGTCGGCAATTCCCGTTGCAGAAAGGAAGCCTAGCCAGGCATTATTAGCCTAGGGGCAGGGGTTTAGTGCGCCCTCTCAGCATGATTATGCACGTAGCCCAATAGACAGGCCACAGCGAATCGGTAGTACTAGCTTAGCAGACCTACGCAGGGCCGGACGGTTTTCATTTCCGCGCCTCATTTGGCTAGAATCTTCCATCTACATTCTAACATGATTGTGATAAGTCCACTACAGATCTACACTTAGACCCTGCCAAGCACCATGATGATGAGAATAAAAATTGATTTCGGAGACTACAGTCGGGTTGTATCCTATTCTAATCCAACTCTAACCTCAGAGCGTCGTATTGCACATACACGGTTCCAGGTAGAACGGCAGTCTCCGTATCCGTCGCGTTGTACGGCAGATGGAGAGTCAAGGTATTATCGCCGACCTTGAGCCAGTCCGTTGGGAACTCCATCCGTGAGCGGACCTGGTAGCAGCTGACCGCAGAACGCACGATACAGCTGCTCGACTGGTTGAAGCCAATCACGAAGGAGAGGGGCTCTTTCTGGTCGTTGATGTAGCTCTCATGGGAGAGGTTGGTGTACGGTTCTGCGGGATTGTACACATCCGTGTTGCCCGAGGCCGTCTTGGCACCGGCAAGCTGGATGGTCAGGGTAGCCTTCTTGGACTTGCTGAGCTGCTTCTTCGTTAAGGAGAAATTGATCTTCCAGTCGTGGGTCGTGTTGTACTCGACATCCGGATTGTCGGGCGTGGGGCCAAACACCGACCAGTGCACCGTGTTGAAGTCTGTCGCGGGATTGCTGCTGCCGATCTTGTAGTCGACGCCATTGGGGAAATCGGATTGCCAGTCGTATGCGCCCCAGTAGATCAGGTACTCTGGCGGGTGCAGTGGGTGGGTGGGATCGCGCGCGATACCATGGCGGAACTCGCCCGAGGACTTGTCAGGGGTACCAAGGCGCCAGACTTCAGTGCCGGCGGACTCAGCGACCCATTTCTCGTTCACAGTGGTGGTCTTGCCGGCCTTGACGGTCACGCCATCGCGCACAAAATCGCCGAAGATGCCTTCGGCGTAGACGGTCAGGCGGTACTTGCCTTCAACAACGCGACCGATGCTGAACTTGCCGCTAGAGTCAATGTCCGTCCAGTACTGGTACGAGGATGGAACAACGCTGTTATCCTGGAAGTACTGGCCGTCCACAGTAAGGATGGCAATAGGATTGGTTGCGCCCTTCGGAAGGCGGACCTGCCCGTTGACGCTGCCTCGCTTCGAGGAAGGCACATAGCCGACGACGTGCTTGGCGATTGAGTCGTAGAATTCGGCGTTCCAGCCGGGATCAGCCAGTTTCGCGGCTTCCGATCGCAAATCCTCAAGGGAAGAGGTGGAGCTCCTGCCACCATTAAAGAGGTAAAACTGAGGGCCGAATGTCCGGTCAAAGCCGTTGGTGATGTTGGGCGTACCTTCACCGTGGTGGTTGGAGACTATATAGTTATAGACAATACCGTCGACGGTCAGATCAGAGTGGAGTGGGCCCTATCTTGTTAGTTTTGTCAATGAACCAAGGCCGAGGGACATACTCCGTAGTAAGTATCCTACTCATCTCGTTAGCACGGCATCTTGATAGGTTGAATCAATACTAACCTTTGTATTCATGACCAACCAGGCGCCGTAGGTCGAGCCATTGGAGTTCGTGCCATCTCCGTAAAGCCCGTGAACATCGTTGCCACGCCATTCTATAGCTTGTTAGGTCGAACCATACCACGTGAGAGAATGAGACCTACGGTTCGAAAACGTGTACTTGGTGAAATACTCAGAAAATTGGGTGTAGTATGCATCGTCCGGGGTGTTGTTAAATCTCCATGTGGCGTCCTGGACGACCACCTCCTTGCTCACGGCATTCTTGCTCGGCAGTGGAGCTGTCTGGAGCTCACTGGACGTAAGATGTGTCCACAACTGCGTGTTGGGTCGGAAGAGCGTGCGGAATTCTTGGAGATTGCGAAGGAAGGGAGTGGTCTCGTTGTAATAAGCCAGACGGCTAAACATGTGCAGTCCTGTCTCTCCGTCGCGCAGGAACCAGTATTGCTGGAACTGCTGTCCAGTAGGAGTATAGGTATCATTGAGGATGACTCCCGCATATTTCGTTCCGGTCGAGTCGGTCCCTTCGACATACTGCATGCTCGGTTTTGTGGCGCCCGCTGTGTAGAAGCCAGAGGGGATGCAGTAGCAGTCGAGGTAGGGTCCGATACCCGTAGATCCGGATTGAGGTCCCAGAAGGTCCTGACCATCGAGGAACATATCCACAACTGATCCCTTGCTCTTGCTCCAAACAGCTTTGAAACGGTCATTGTTGAGGGTGATAGTGCTGTTGTCCTCGGCGACCTGCAACGCTGCCAGGGCAACGCCAGCCCAGGCGCACGCCGCACCTAAAGAAATGGCGAAGCGCATTGTGGAGGGTAACCGTCAACAAATTGATCGACAGCGACGTGAACCCCGCTCGCAGGAATCATGGAGTGACCCCGAGCAGTATTTGAACCGCCTTGGACTGGCAATATTTATGATCGCGGCATGCAATGCCCCGAGGGCACTTGAGAAGCAACTTCAAGCTCCGCTGCAGCTCCCAAGCAAGAGGCCGCATTCAGGGGATGACGCCGTTTAGCGACTTAGCCTATCAAGGAACGGGCCAAGACCGCGGGCTGCGGAACCCCAGATAAATGGGTGAAATGCGGGGAAACTGTGGGACCAGAATGTAGCTCCATGGAGTCGACGGAAAAATTATTCGGCCATCATTAACCCGATGAAGCGTGAGAGCCAGACCAGGGTGTAGATTGAGACCGAACACCGCTGCGGGGGAGTACGAGGCAAGAGAATGCCAAACACCGCCCCATTGTGCCCTTGTTCCCTCGTCCAATTCGTGTTTACCGTGTCGTCCTTTCATTATGCTTGAACACGCCACGACTTCGGCCTAATCTCTCAACAGAAACAATGCGAGGGAAATCGATCGAGTGAGTGACATTTCTTTTGGAATTGTCATACCACGCGGTCCCCTCAAGAATTATCGAGGGTTGTGCCAACACGTCCATGAGTCTGGTAGTCATTGTCCGGCGTCTACTGCAGCAACGACCGCGACTCGGTCCCTTGAGAAACTGATTTGCATGGCTTAATTCGAAGCCGACACGTCGATCCAAGGGTGGATTAGAGTCACCCGGGCCAGACGTTTCCGATCGGTTGAAGGACAAAGATCATGGACAGGAATGACTGTGGTAGAAATTCTCACCATGTGCATTCAGGTGCATTCAGGTGCATTCAGGTGCATTCAGGTGCTTGCTGGGGCGATGGCGTAGACCGACATCGTTCAGCTTACTACCCCTCCATCGGATCAGAGCCGGGGCAGCCAGCCGTATTCGTCTTTACTGGGGTGGCGAAAATACCACTAATTGCTTGCAGTTCAGTTCCTAGGCCGCATGTTCAGTCCTGGGCAGGACGCGAATAACTTCATGTCGCGTAGCGGCTGGATTCAACTCAATAAAGATTACTCGGCACGCTATTCAGCCACGACATATCCTGGAAATCAGGCATATCGAACCCATCAAGCAAGTCCGTATTCATGTCTTCGCCAAGGGACATGTCGTTCATGGCGTTGGAAGTGCTGACTTGAGCTTGGGTTGGCGGCTCATTCTGTTGTGGTCCTTCGGACACAACCCTTTCGTAGAGGATCTCCAATGCTGCGACGCACCGTCGAGCGGATGAGCTGTAGCTGTGGTAGCTTCTCAATATGTCAAGGGCGCAATTCCAGGATCGCGTTATCGCTGTTTCTGTTACTTCTTCGAGGATAGCGGATCGGAGGCGCCCGGCGATCAGGACCGTCGCTGCCGTGTAGACATCTTTCCTGTCAGTACATTCTCAATTGAAGACTTTAATATGACTTACAAAGAATGTTGTACCACCAGGCTGGAAGTGGACCGGCAGAGCCGTCAGCAGGGGTGTTGCTGTGGATCAATTCAATAACCTCTTGCGCGACCTTGACACAGATGATAGAGCACTGCTGCGCAACTCGCTGGGGAAATGAATCATTCACTGAGATAAGCGGATCGTAGGGTGTAATCTCGCGAGCAGTACAATACTTTGACAAAATGGGTCTGAAAAGAAGCATCCGGACATGTAGAAATCTGGTGTGACGTTCAGCTCGCATACCATTTAGGTCGGAAAGGAGCTTACCGGGCCCTCAAAACCACACTCTGGTGGTAGAAAACCGCATCCTCAGGCCTGGAGGATACATCTCCTCGGAGATGGGACGGTAGACTTTGAGTCCATTTGGTGAGAGCTCGATCGAGCTCGAAGATGGTACGTTCGCCTTCATCCGGTCCTTTGTTGAAGTAGAAATCGTAGATGTCTTCTGGGTTCTCTTCGGGAACAGGTTTATAGAGGCTGAGCAGTATATCGTTCAGAATCTCGTAGAGCTCAAGGGACTTTCGGTAAAACGCCATGACCGAAGGACGGTCCGCGGGTTGTCTCACTTCGCCACCCAGAGCTGCGGGAATGTACTCTTCGTCCACTGTGGCTGGCAGCGGAACGGAGCCACAGGATGCCTTGGAGATCATGGCTGGTCGTCCGAATGTCATCGAGATAACCCTGTCCATAAGAACACATCCGTGCCAGATCTTCCGTGCGAGTTGCTGTTCTTGGAAGCTCGGTAGACAAGCAATGGTTTGTGGAAGGTGCAGGCCCAGACTTTGAGCGTTCCGAATTGCTAACCCAGTGACAATCCAGCATTGATGTGCCGAGTCGGTGCTTTGCAGGTACTGAGCCATCAGCAGAAGGCATTGAATCAGAGTAGCAGAGCCGCCGTGCCAGAGGTTGAAGTGTAGGAGGTCTTTTGCGCGACAGAAGAAAGCATCTGCAGAGGCTTCGCGCTCGTCCGGCGGGATGAAATCAGCCAATTGGCAGGCCAAAGCGAAAATGACGTTGAATGTGCACATGAGCATATTCTCGTCCGAGTCGAGCGTTTCTCCGGTCCAGAGCTTGCTATACTCCGCTCGCATATGCATGCTATCTACCAGCGGATAGAGAGGAAACACAAAGCGCCAGTACACTTCCATAAGGCTATCGGCAGTCTTTCTTGGAGGAAGCACATAGTTGGATATGGTCGAGGGTCTCCCGGTCCTCTTGGGCAGACTCGATTGCGCCCCAGTTCCCAATATGGACTCGGACGTCCGGCGGTTGGGTGAGTCCACCTTCTTCTCCACGGCTGTTTTGATCTGACGCATGAAACTGGTAGCACTTGAGCTGCCAAAAAAGCCTTGTGTCTGGCGCTCCTCCTCCAGAGAACCCATCATCGCATTCACACCATCATCTCTCCCTTCAGTGTCTAATGGACGTTCCAAACTACGACAAACTGCATTGCTTGGCTGTCGTCCAGCGCCTGCAGAGAAGCCGTTCCTGCCATCGAACCGGTTGTGGGGAACCGTTTGTGATGGACTGAGTGGTCCCGATGACTGGACTGAAGGTGAGACCTGATTGAATGGCGATGTAGACTACTTAGAGGTTAAAACAGTGATATACGCGAAAACAGGAATCGAATGCTGACCTGCGTATAACGTGATGCCTGCTGCCCACCAGGACTCTCTAGATGTCTGATTTTACTTTCCAAACTAGCGATGTAGCTGCCCCATGAAATCAACATTAGCTGTCAACCATTAACCAAGTGGTGCCTGAGGCAAACACTCACTTGCGGACGGCTCTGCGTTTCTCCGGCTCACCAGTGTAAACGCAGCGCGCATCAGATCGCTTCGTACAAGGCCCGCACACTGAGGAACCAAGAATGAGAGACGCAGTCAGCAAGGCGGTTCTTATTCCGAAGCAACGGAGACGCGGAAGTCGGAAGAAAGTCAGCGAGCCTACCGGGTTGGATGCCGTCGCACCGGACCTTCCGAGCGCGACATTCATCGCATGCGACCGCGACTTTGCGTCGCTTCGGACGTTTTTCTGACTCTTCGTCTGGGCGTGGGTTAAGAGGCGATAGGCTGTTCATTTATATAATATGTATCATGCAGTGGTGGTAATTTGTGCAGGAATTGATGCAGTCCTGGTTATGTGGGTAGAGGAAGTGCGTCCCAGACTCCCGCGAGCTCGGGAGTTGGACTCGGGTGCGATTCCGGTGGCCTCAGGCAGAAGACCATTTATTTGATTGTTCATCCATAACGTCGAAATTGAATTGAATATGGGATCACTAATTATCTAAATGATTTAAACTCTGTTCTACTGGCTTAGTCCATTTATTTCAAACGTATATCCACTTGTCCTTAGAGTTGGGTTGCTTTTCACTCCCTCTCGAAATATATATATATTCTGACTGAGGGTGCACTTATGAAATGATGTCACCACCTATATAAAATCAGACGCTTTCCATGATATCCTAGTACTGCACATTCCTCACCAGAAGGCAGGCGAAGACTTAGAAGTACAAGGTAAGTGTGTTGGTATCCAGGGTTTGGTGATTCATGGAGGTTCTCTAGACGCATTCTTCAGAGATCTTCTCTAGGATAGCATCTCCTAAGGGCATGAATCCCTCTCAAAACGTTTATTAGAGCGCACTGCGTCCTGCAAACCAAAAACCAGCTTACAGAGATATAATTGCTTATGGCCATGAGTGCAAATGTTGGAGAGACTAGTTGATTTACACTACTAAGAAGCAAGCGACAATTAAGGGTAAGGTATATTCTCGATTATTAACACTTCTCTAGTCCAATAGGACAGAGTGCACTAAGCTGATACAGTAACAGTCCAAATGAGAATCGATTATCCATCATCTGATCAAGAAGAGAAATTTTTCTATCCGCCAGGAGCCATGCAGTTGTACACCAAGTGCTATATGCAACCGTGATCTCGAAGATATTGAACAAGGGTTTGAGACGACGGCATCACTCGTGACTGGCTTAGGCGATGCTGTCGAGAGCAACGCAGGCAGGTGTGGCAATGTTGATGAGACCGCCAGACTATTATTACCATTAGAAGAGCGCCAACCAGGGAAAGCTTGAAATGACTTACAGCTTCGGACTTGTTGTCCTGGCAGCAAGCAACGTTCTGCTGGCATTCGTTATTGAGCAAGTCGCTGGCACCGATGAGGCCTGGAAAATGTTAGAGGTATAGTTTCTCTCGACTTTTGATACGATTGCTTACCGGTGACAGAGATCTTCTGGCAGCCAGACAGGATACCGACACCCTCAGGGCCGCTGAGGGTGTTGCCGAAAAGGCCGTTCAAAGCGCCGTAGTTGAAGGCGGTGGTGTCGCCGACCTTGGAGGCATGGTTGCAGCAAGACAGAGTGGCCTTGTCGCCACACTTGTTCTGGGCCTGCTGCAGAGTGTACTGGTTGGAGCTGTCGAAGGCAGGGTGGACGACAGGAGCTCCGACGGGAGCACCGCCGGGGAGAGCCAGAGCGGTGGCAGCGAGGAGAGAGGCAACAGCGAGGAACTTCATTTTGATGATGGGTTGAAGTAGAGAGTTTGCTTGGAAGCGTCGAGAAAGTGAGAGAAGATTGTTTTAGTGGATGGATGGATGGATTGTTTGATTGTGCTGATGGAGAAGCAGAACAGCAGGATTCGACTGTCCTTTTATACCTTTGGCAGCCGTCTTTGGGTGATATTGTTTTCAAAGCAGACTCGCTGCACGATTCCTGTTTGGAGCACTCAACGCCACTGTTGGGCTCCTTGCTGGAACTCATTCAAAACCCGATCATGCTGAGGCTGGGCCTGAGATGAAGGCTTCAATAGTTCGCATCCACAGATCCACGCAGGAACCAATTGTGCAGCAGTCTGGCCACCGCACAGTACTTCGTGGAGCCCAGTTCAACAGCCATCAACAATAAAATTCCCCACCCATGCAATCATCCTGCAATTGAGTTTGGAGGACAAACTCTCGCACCTGCAGGGTGACAGGGGCTGGTTCGGGGTCCGCAAATGTGATATATGATCTATCCCATATGGATCTCCGCATCCTGCAGCCCCAACACTCACTGCAGCCTGAATGTCAACAGACTGTGCGTAACTAGTGGATTTATGTCTTGGAATTTGTTGAGCTGTTTCTCCCCGTTTAATCAGGCCTGCTCGTCGGCAATCAAGCCAAGTAGCCTAGCACCAGGCAAGCCATGTGTCTGGTGAGGCCCCTGCATCTAATAGTTCCTCTATCCCTTGCAGCCTCTACTTGAGAGCTAATTTTGTGTTCTCAGTAAACTTCTCCATGCTACACTGCCTAAGCTTTCGGCCCTTACTTTGTTTCTAATTGTATGTTTCGAGATTATTATACCTCGTGTTTTGTGGAAATTGCATCGTAGAATAGTCTTAGTTTGCAAAATAGTAAAATGAGTGTTCGTCTCAAAGTCACCGATGTACGCTACAAAGCAGGAACAGCGTCCCTGCTTGTCCCATAGAAAAAGCAATAACCTTGGCTTGGGTTAGTGGTACGCCAACTCAGCATAAACAAGGCCCTGGACGTCAGAGAAATGACAAGTCCACTCCGTACCTATTTAGCTTTATGATCGGCAATGCTCACCGTCTTGACCAGTCTATTCTCGGCGCATCTTGGTAATTCAGATCGTACTCCCCGTGAGGTACTCTGTAGTCTGCTCTATATGACGTAGCTCAAAGAGTTCATAACAGCGAGATCATCAGTTTGACCTCAGGTTGGCAACCCTTTACCTCACATTTCAAACAAAATGATAAGACGGAACTTGTTGGGGAGGATACAAAGTTCATACGTAGAAAGAGTCTTGGAAGAACCCCAGATGTGCGAACTCTATTTCTCAGGATCGACAGAGCTAGGTTCGGTTGCCTAGCTGCCATACCCTCAGGCCTTAATCTCGTTGCCGCCAGTCTCTAACTTAAAAGAGCTACAAGGGGGTGTTTATTATTGCTAAATGGACTCAAATTGCTGGGCTAATCAGGGTAATCCTTTCTAGCTGGTAGAAATAATATTGCAGCAGATGTTCAACATCTAATGTTTCCCTTTAATCATCACAGCGGAGAACAAGTGCAAAGTACTCTATTCCGTAGTTCAGCGTAGTGACCATCAGGAAATAGGATCATTCGTCTGCTCCAAAAAAAATGTAAGGTCATTAGATTGAGGTCCTTACTACGTACTGTTGATCTCTATCAACAACCACCCAGCAGGAAACAAGGACTGTCGTACACATGACCTCTGTCGTCTGAGTTGCCTTCTTGTCTGACGATCTCTATATTCCCGATTTCCCCGGATTTATTTGCTATCTGCTTCTAGTCAATTTCGAGGTTCGTTTACTGCGTTCAAATGGTTGGATAGGACAAGGACCAGCTCATACGAGCGATCATCGCCCTTGGAATTTGGTGCTTCATAGACGTACAATGCTGAGCCTAAGGAAAACAAGTTTTCTTTTCCTAAGGACTATCTAATTGTCATAGCAATTCAATTCAGTAGACAGATCCCTCGATGACATGAGTCTAGAGCAGGTGAACAAAAGTCCAATGCATTCGGATGTGTCCAGCTCTGCCATGACTCAGATGAGTCTGCCTATGCCTTGGAAAAGGCCATGAAGATCTGCATACCTACAGTCGCTGCTCGTATACACCTCCTATTACTATTAGTCTCTTTATGCCTTGCTTCTGTTGAACGAAGAATCATCGACTCCACCATCGCCACTCTCCTACAGCTACGTGGTGAAAGCTCCAGGCTTATTACCCACACCGACAACAGGACTCTCTCCTTCCGCTTCCACTACATTCTGGCCTGACAGCTCATGTCTTGTCTGCGGTCCATCGGCTGGTTTCTCATGCACCCGGCCTCGTGAGATAATCTCCACACCGCTGAAGGCGTACGGCCTCCTCGAAGTCACCCGCCTTCGCCATCTGACGAGGAGAACGGCCAACGCACCAAAGACAGCTACCGATCCCAAACCCACACCAATCCCAATTCCTGCTTTTGCTCCTGTTGACAGGGAGGAATCGCTTGGCTGCGATGCAGAGGCCGGTGTCGATGTTGAAGGTACTGAGGCCACTGTCGTGGCAGAAGAAGAGCTCGAGGGAGCTACCATACTAACAGAGGTAGATGCCGTCGTCGACGTCGACGCCAAAAGCCCCACCGCCAGGGTCGGCGCAAGTGTGATCGCCTCTGACGTCCCACAGCATGCGGTGTTATTCTGCCCACAGCACCACGTCCTCGAATCTGGGGTATTCTCGCACGGCGTCAGCGGGACAGTATGCCCCGGATAGACCTAGCCAATAGCCATTAGCTATGCTGCTGTCATAGATCTGCAGAGGATAATTACATCGCCCTGAGTGCAGACGTTCAAACACCCATTTGTCGACCAGTCCGTGCTGGTGCACAGAGTCCGCCAGTAGGTGTAGACCATCTGGCCTGTGCTCATCATTTTCACGATGTTCTGGCACAGTCCGTTCTCTAGACAGGTGTCCGCCGTGTAGCCCTTGGAGTCCGGCCCGCCTGGAGAATTGGGGCGGTCAAGTGCGCAGCACATGCCGTTGACGCCTTGGACTCTGTTGCATTGTTGGTAGTTGTCGTCGGCGGTGCCGTTGGGGTAGTAGCAGGTTGAGCAGACGGGGGAAATAGCCAGAGAGAAGAGGGAAAAGCTAATTAATCTCTTGGATGGTCTCATGATGACGCCTAATGGTTTTGATGGTGGAGGATATAACAAGGGAGGATTGACGTGTTCGCGGATTATCTATAAGGCGTTTTGTCTGATAAGCTGAATCTTGTGAGACATCTGTGTAAMCAGTTGGTCGCGGATCATGGTAAACGGAGAAGACGGATGGTATGTACTCGAACTCGTGGTCGTGTTTATGCTTAAGACGCGGCGACGCCTGATCTAAGAAGGTTTGAAGATTTTGTCTACTACTTAGATCATCATAAAGTCGTTCTCATTGCGAGTCGCAACTTCTGATGTTGGCTGGTGGGGTTTCTGGAGTGCGAGGCTGACTTTGTAGTACCAACTCCTTCACTATCAGCTGAAATACGGATAACCGGCTGTTCCGGTGTTCAGATGTCTCATACCTAAGCTCATATTAAGTGTCTTGAGTGATGGCTTATCCTTGCTCTAACCGCTTGGAGATGATCGACGCGAACCGCGGAATCAGGAGCGTCCAACCAGAAGAATGTTTGCTGTCAGCTTGTCAGATTTCATAAGGCTGTGTCTGCTTACTGCATACGCCGACTTTGATTCGCTTTGGTCGTTACCGACTTATGTGACTGCTGGATAAGCGACGATTCAATCGTTGAATATGTCTCATAATCTGAGACTCTGAGTTGCGTTTCTCGCGCATGTCCCAGACATTCAATGTTCAAGAACATCTAGTCCGTATATGCTCATAATGTATCATCCACATAATATATGCCCAAGTCTAAGGTATMTAACTCCGAAATCACCAATCAAAAGACTCCTCCAGATATCGAAGTGATCGACATCCCCGCCTCATAGCCTGATACACAGCCACGCGCGTTTGGTCAGCCATCCCGGAAGGCCCGCACACCAACACCACCACAGACGAACTACTAAGCCTCGCTTCTTCCGCATGAGTTGTAATTATCCCCTGTAAGTCGGGTCGGCCGCACATAAATTCCACACCACCCATAATCTCAGCCTGAGACATTGTCTCAGGAGTAACATAAAACGAGACACGCAAGTCCTTCCTGCGAAGAGCCTGCTTCAACTCTCTTCCCGCAATATCGCGCATGAGCGCTGACTGCCGAGCGGTCCAGACTAGATGAATGTCCTTCGTCGAGGTCTGGCCGGTCGAAGAGCGGATGATGTGATCCTGGATGTAAGGTACCGCGGCGGCGATCCCAGTCCCGCCTGCGATCAATAGGACGGATTCGTACTTCCAGAGCGGACATTGCTCGCCGTATGGTCCTTCAAGGAGGATGTTTGGCTGGATTGTCCGAGTTGGTGATTGCAAGCATTGATCGCGCAGATGGCGAGTCCATCCGTCATAGGGTCGGATCCAGAAATGCAGTGCCGGTTTGCGCTCTAGTAGGTCGGCTGCGGTGTCGATTGAGCCGTAGTCTGAGTTGAAACTGGGAGTGCCGGGAAGAAGAGGAATTTCCGAGACGTCGCCACAATCGCTTTTCCTACGGGGGCATGGAGCTGGAGGTGCGCCATCTTCATATGACCACGACCCCAGTGTGAATGGATGACTTTCCCATCCTGTGAGTCGGAAGGGTTGGTAAAGAAAGTAGTACTGTCCTGGAGCTGGCTGCAGCCCTGAACCAGGGATCAACTCCAGGCGAATGATATCAGCAGCTCCGTCGTATGTCGCGACGCATTCTGTACATTGGAAACGGCTGTGGGAACCTAGTCGGACATGCAAGTTGCAGTAGACTATGCGAATCAAGCGCAAGATCCGATCAGATATCCATATCACAACGGCGGGCCAGAGATAGAACCAATATTCGTGATCTTCAAATATGATGACGTGACTAAAACTGTTAGAGTCGACCTCTTCATGGAAGTTGCACTTACTAGAAACAACCGACAAGAGCGACAACAGAGAAGAGAATATGAAAGACGAGGAAAGTCTCATAGGTCCTGCGTCGAAACCAGTCCACAGCAAATGGAAAGATCAATATCATGGCGAGCATCCCCTGTGATAATGAGACCGCTGACMGATTGAAATTACCCGAAGAAATAGACTAGCTCACCAGTGTTCCCCATAAAAGATAGGGCTTTTGCATCTTCTTCCAAGCATTTCCCGCTGGAGGAATCATAAGCGATGGTACGCAAGTGAGCAGGACAACCCACCTTGAATGAACAAGACAATGTACAAAATTGTATGTACAGCCGCTTGAAGGGTCGCTATCCAAGCCACATGGCGATGGAAGATGTTGAAAGTCGAATAGCTCCACCCAGTCGCCCAGAGAAATATATTATTCCGGCCTGCGAACAACCATAAAAGAGGTATATTGGCAAAGGAGAGAATCCCTGTGCGATCCGCTACATACCGCAGGAGCTGTGCCGATATTTCGGGCCAGCTGCAGCCGTCAGCATATGCAGATCAACATCACTAGCGGACTTACTAGATATTGTCCGAAAAGGTTCGATAACCGACGAGGCAGAGCACGATGCTCAGAATCCAGAAAAGGAAGACAATGATCGCATGGATGCGTCCTGGGAATGTCCACCAAAACAGCCGACGTCTGCTCGATGCGAGGGGGGCAGGAATAATCAAATTGGTTTGTATCCAGTCATATATCGACAATACCGAAGTAAGAAAAGGCAGCGATCGCGCTCGCTTTGAACAAATCGCATGGAGAGCCAGTTTGTGTAGAGTTCCGACGGCGATCACAACGGCCCAATACGCGTATCCCAGGTATCTAGCCCATCAGCTCTACCCTAAGATTCCATCAAATCGACTACTTACCCAAATGCATAGTGCGACCAAAGCTCAAATTGCCAGGCATCCTGTTTCGGTAAGCATTTGAGACCCGTATCAACCACCCTGGCATGCTCACAATTGTTCGGAACACTCGACTGTAGTACACTTTGGAGATCAAAATAGGAGTGTCAACAGGTCCCTTCTTCGGCAAGTCTCGAAATTCAACGACCCGCATCCGACTAATCGCTTCATCCGACAGATTCGCGGCAAACTCCTCTCGGGGAATTAAGTTTACACCGCCGTATTCTCGACATTGGGCCTCAAGCAGTCCGAAACCTGTTTCTCTTTCCGCGTCTGAGCAATACGCGGCAGAAGCGGCGTAAATTGATAGCATGCGTAGCCGATTTCGGCATCGTGGCGCCCACAGGCCTTTATCGGGGTGTCCCGAGAAAGAAATATAGTCGTATGCTGTGTATACAGCGGTCACACAGCGTTCATTTGGCGCAATGATCTGCGATAGAGCATTTTGCAGGTGCGATAGGATTATTAGGCAGGTGAGGAATAGCATGACTGGCCATAAGGAAGTAAAAGAGGGGAGAAAAAGGAAGTTGGCGGAGGGTGACCGTATGGCATCAGATCGGACCACTATCGGAAGTCAGAGTTGACCCACTTGAAGAATTGAGAAGTGGTATCAGGAGAATGGGGGTGGCACAGGTACCTCGAGTACTTTAACAATATTAGCGTCAAATATTATAGGAAGACATGGCGGGACAGATGGATGCACGATGAATGAAGATATCTAGGATCCCCAAAATCATGGGATTTATCTAATCTGATCATCAAGATCAGATAATGAGGTGACTCCATATGATTGGCTGACACGTTCCAAAATTTTGCGCTGACTTCGGGAAGGATCGGATGACTGCCTTGTTGCCTTAGATTTCTGATCATTGGTCACGTGATGCGTCATTGACCATGGCATCTCCACAAGTGTCTGAAGCTTTTAATTGCATTCCTGTAAAATACTATTCCAAAATGTAGTTGTATACCACAAGGAAGTAGCCATGTATTGTTTTGCTACTGCTAACGAGGAAGAATGAATGACTGAGGGGTTTTGCTTGAGTTAGTACCTATCTACGTCTTGTTGACACGACACGACAGCGGTACGGCACCAACACCTATTCCTGATCACAAATCGTTCCAGCGTCTGGAATCCGTCGAATTCATTTCCTTTACTCAGATAAGAACACTCTCCATTTGGTTGTTCTTAATGGACGTTTTATCTGTTCGCATTATTTGGTAGAGATACCTATCTGCATGACACTTGGTACCATAGACGCCTGGAAGTGAATCAATGTTGTGCAGGTAACACAACAGGGTAGCGAATGGATTCCAGGCTCGAATACGAGCCTCTGTCCATAGGCAGCTAGTCGACTGGACAGGCCAAGAAATAGGCGTCAGGCTAAAAAAGACTAATCCCGCAGCCTGTCAGTTGATTCCCTTTCAAAAGTCTTTCTGACATTTTGTCTTTCTGGTTCTGTACCACATACGGCAGTACGGACTACGGAGTAATGCCATGGTTCCCGCCGGCCGGTCAATCGGCGCAGGATGGCTGGCGCTTCGACATCGTCAGCCTCCTCGCCATCATTGGAGAATCGACGCTTGAGCGACACGTTCAGGTCATCACCGCCTCTTCGTATGCCTGGCTCCCGCGCCTCCTCCCAGCCCCGCAGACCGTGCTCAAGACAGAGCGACCGGCTCGACTCCCCTCCATCAAGGACGTCGTCATCACAGGCATCTATTCCGGACTGCATCTCACAGAACTGAACTTCTTCGCCGATGTGATCCACGATGTCGCCACGCTGCAGCCGTACGAGTTCCGCGTGTACGACATCCACTACGCACAAAAGGAGTCGAAGGAGGCGGAGGAGCGGCGGTTCCGACCGCGAGTCTTGACAGATGGAGTAGCGGAACCAGTCTACATCCCCGTGAAGAGATTCTGCGCTCTCAATGTCGTAAACTGGATCTCCGTGGTCATGACCATCGCTCTCTTCATCTGGGCTGGTCTCATCCACGATGGGCTTGCAATGATCGCGCTCGTAACCATGTCGCTGTCGACCAGTCTGGCCTGTCTTTCCTCGGAATGGTACCCCGTCCTCTCGCACCGGCCGACCGACGCCAAGGTCCCGCCGGGTGATATCGTGATCGCCTCGCGCCACGGGGCGTTTGTGGTAGTCCGGTGCAACGAGGAGATCACGCGGGAGCTATATGGGGGCACGGAGACTTGCCGGTATGTGTTTGGCGATACATGGCATCGGGTGCTGCTGGGGACCAGCACGGTCCTGCTCATGGCCTCCGTGATTCTGTTCAACAACTGTGGCTGGACGATGCAGACGGCCATCGGTATCGCGTATATCATTCTCAACATCTTGTACTGGGCGGTGCCGTTGATGATGCACCGCAAGTCGACGTGGGATATGAGCCGGTATGAGATCAAGAGGGCTGCACCCAAGGCGCGACCGACGAAGCGAATGCCAAGCTACACTGAGACGCTTTGGTATGCCATCCGTGAGACGGGACGGATAGAGTGGGTTCAAAATAGCAAGCTCGCCCCGTCGACAGACGCCTGGCGAAAATGGCTGCAGGAGGCTCTGAGGAACTGCTACGACGGGTCCACGTGGGATCCGGTCGATGCCAAAGATCGCTTCATGCGGGAGGCCGCAGAGAGTGTGACGCCGGCGACAAAATTAGACTGACACTATGAGCACGACTTTATGATTATCGTATTGTTTTCTATCAGATACATCATCACTTATATTCCTCTGCAAGGCGTAACCGTGGGTTCTCGTAAATCGTACAGTGTCATCAAGTCATAAGCGTGGATCAATAATATCTTTCGAGGCCATCCAAGGCAGCTTGACAGTATCCAGGATAGATGGGTCGTCAACAAATCTGCCGCTTTTGATTACATCCTGGACAAACGACAGGTCGCGCTCTTGAATTCCGTCTGCTCCAGGCCGTGGACCCTCAAATACACGCGCCAGAAACCGCAGAAATGCAGACAACGCAGCAACGATACAACTGCGCTCTTTGTTGTGGACATTCCGCATAACCTCGGCCAGCAGACCTGGCGCGTAGTATGGGACAATCGCCACCCCGTCGCCAATGCCATCTACAATGAGCCCATCAACCAGTCGGCGTCTGGTAGACTCTGGTAGAGCCTGAAACGCCGTGTGAAACATCTCAGCCGACTCTAGACTATCACCTCGGCCCATGCAGAGCAGCCGCAGTAGCGTTCGTTCCTCGGCGTTCTCAACAGAAAGCGAAGCAAATCCTTTCTCGTGGAGAAGTTCCGCCCGATCCATCAGAATCCGGTCATAGCAAGCGCGCTCAGTCGGAATGTTCCCTTGAATAAACTCCCGAACAACTTCAATTGCGCGCAGATAAGCCCGGCAGACCGACTCGGTCATCATTGCACATCCCCTCGCATCGCGATGGGCAGCCGCGCCAGCGACATCGAGGAGCGTCACCATCGCGCGCATCTCGTATCCGCATTCAACATCACTCATCGACCGTAGCACAGAGAGACTCGCCGGCGCGCACTCACCCTGCACCAACTGCGAGAGATTAAGCTTGCTTCCGATCTGCAGGCTCTGCAGAATTGCTTCTCTGCCGCGTTGGGGAACACCCGCCAGCGCCGGGATGCGATCTGCTCGCGCTGCATGATAGACTAATTCGGAGTGATTCGCTTCAGCTTCAGCCTCGTCGGTCAAGGCTAGAGTAGAGTCTTTGCCGATATCGTCGATGACGATTGCCACTAGTAACGCGTAGATGTCGTCAGTGTCGCGCAGATTCCGCGTGATCTGCTCCTGCATGCGCTCGAATGTCTCCCGCGCCAATTTTGCTTCTGATTGACCGCGTGTGAAAGTCTCGTAGTCGTCCGCTAGGATCCACTTGAGCGCCAGCATGCTGATCAGGGTACGGTTGACCTCTGCGAATTCTGCGCCGTAGATCAGCGCGGATGGCGTTTTTCCATCCAAGCAGCAGGGAGGCGTGCTTGCGCCAGATTCAACCGTAGCACTAGCATTTCGGAGATGAGTGAGCTCTGTCGGGAACGAAGATGCAAAAAGATGGATTGCCTCGGTGTCTGAAAGAGTTAAGAATTTCTCCCGCGCGATGATGTCCCGTAGAGTCGCCATTTGTGGGCGAGAAGCAGATTGACAACACCAGAGAAATCGTAGGGTTGATGAGACACACACTTTTATTCTTCTTAGCATTTTTGAATATGGAACCGAATATATCGGATCATGACGTTTTAAACAAGAGTTGACCGTACCAAAGAATGCCTCGGGCTGCACAGCCGCACTGCCTGGTCACCAGCCACTTTGACCCTCTTGAAAAAACGTCGACTTCGTATTTCATGGGCGCTTAGCTTCTGGATCTCAGCCTCCTTCTCTTCAACAGTCGGTGAGAATCCATGTTGAGAATATGAGGAGGAGGCTCTGTCGGGCTGTTTTGGCAGCGAAAGGGTTGTGAATGCAGGAGAAATATATTTTGGCGGGCGACATCCGATAACTTGAAATGGCCCTATCTACCATCTCATTCTCTAGACCGTCGTAACTGCAGATGGGTGGATTCCTCCCGAGTCCCTTCCGACCCTGTCATCCAATGTAGATCATTTTTCTCGTCGGTCCCTAGACGCGATCTCCTCCAATCAAATCCCAGAGTTGGCCCTGAACGGTCATCGTGCAACAGCCTGATCAACTCCGCAAGGCTGACTCTGCAGTTTCAATGACTCCAGTATACTGCTATTTTATATTTCTATAAAACTTTGATTTATCTTTATTTTGATATTGTTTTAGAACCAGAGTGACACTATTTTTGATCCTCGAAGACTTAAAAGAGAACCATATAATACTATAAGATCACCATTACAGTATTAGGACTCTTTATAATCTGAAAGAAAGGTAATGTGAAAGAAAAGGAAAAGAAAACTATGGTTGAGAATAAATGAAGATATCATTATTCTCGTACTATTAATTAAGTTCATGCTTACCATGCACTACCCTTGACTCTATTCACTCTCGATCGCTGAAAAGTTGTTTATTCATCCACCTACTACATGCAAGCTACAAACAGAAGTAGACAGCCTCATCTCCTTCCACTCTCCATCTTCCACCTCCTCTGAGTTCACAGTCTTCTACAACCCTTTTCCAACTCTCATCATGACAGCAGAATCAACAAACGATGACCCGCAGTTTGCGTTTAACTTTGCCGACACACCAGATGACACCAAAAAAGATGAAAGGCCTAAGGCCAAAAAGGTCGAATGCACCAAGAAGGAAGTCCAAGCTATCCTTAACCTCCAAGGCAAGGAAGAGTGGCTGGAGTGGCTGAGATCCGACATGGTACAACCATAGTGGCAAGAACTATCCCATGATCACTTGAGTAAAACACACGACAAAAAGCGCGGTAAGGGAATTAGTGAGATACAGAGCAGAACGGTCAATGGTGAGGCGCACCGCATGCAGAAGTACAGCACCGTACGACCAAACAAGGACGACTGGGATGCAGCTGACCACCTTGCGCGCTTCCATTTTAATGTGAAGTGACTGGCCCTTTAAGGGCTGGCTTGTGGAGATCCACGCACCATTGCATATTGAAAAGCTACATGGCGGGATGGCGGTGATGGGAACAAAACAGCAAGGTAATGTGCTCTAGGTCCAGCCTGAAAAAGCCTTTTGCAGAAGAGACTTAACAGATGATCTAGGTGAGGGTGTCACTCTAGGAAAGGGAAAGGCGAAGTCATCAGATGGACCATCAAAGACCAAAAAGGCGAGGGATGATGGAGACACAATGAGGAGTAGAGCGCAGCCGGGCGATGACAGACAATCAGCAAACAGCACGACAATGATACATGGGAACACAGGCAGCCAGGACAAGGATGTAGAGAGTGAGGACGAGGTGCAGCTGAGCGAAGACGAAGAAGAAGACGACATACCAAGCCTTGCTGTGTCGCCATGGAAGGCAGGGAAGAAACCGGACGTGTTTGATCCGACAGAGACCTACTGGAAGTTTCGGCGCATCGTTGGAGCACTCAAATATGTTGAACTCGCCCCAGAGGTGGCAACTGCAGATGCGATTACTCTCACCGATCACGAGACTGACCCCACGACTCAGGAAAACACGGAGTTCGACCCGCCATCAACTAGCCCGGGGGGTGAGAATGGCGCCAGGCCAGCATCCACCTTCGATAGCTCCAAGTACGTTAATGTATTAGCGTATGAAAGCGAACTCACAGTGCAAATTGACGCCAGGATTATGGATCTTGGATGATTGTCCCTACTGAGGAGAGCCTGGAGCAGTTTCATCAAAATGTCGCCTACCAACGCGAGAACCATGAAGAGGCCTGTCTGCATCTCAACATTAGAAAGCCGGAGAACCCATAAATGAGGTTTATGAATTGCGGTGCTGTCCTCAAATTTTGGCAGCCGGCAGCCGGCAGCCATCGTAGGCCTGTTGGAGATTCGATCCAAACCCAATCTAACTGGTACAGTCCTTGGCCAGACCGTCGGCCTGGGCAAGACATGGGAGACGGTTGGATTCATACTGAAGGTATGTGTACCCCTTGGCTAAGCTGGAAAAGCCTTTTTCAGATGAAGTCCTGAAGGCGCAAAAGAGGGCAGTTCTCCACCAAACGCGAGTCCTTTTCTTGTTGTTGCGCCGCCCGGATTGATCATGCAGTGGATCGTTGAGTTCGCAAAGATCCCTCAACACTCAACATCTCCGAGTATTGGTATATTATGGCGATATACGGGGCGGAACTTCGGAGTTCCAAGCATCGAGAGAGACTTTCGGCGGACCCTGAATTTCTCGATGGCAAGCCGCTCAATAGCCGCACAGTTGTTATCACCACCTATCATCAGACCCTGGACTCGCGCCATGGCCCTGCAGCAGTGAAAGCTTGGCTGACCAAGCACAATTTGCCAGTTCGAGAGCCAATTCTTTCCGTTCCCGATTATTGCCCTCATAAATTGAAAGATTGCGTCCAGATTGAGAAATGCAGTGTTGAACCAGTCTCGAGCCGTCAGTTGGCTGAGCGCGAAATTTCACGTGCTTCTGTCGGCGACTTTGATGTTCAATTCTATTGAAGATTTTCGTGGGTATATGCCCTTTCTTTTCCCAAGTCTATCACTGTGGAGCAACGCGGACTGGAAAGAGCTTGGGATCGACAGCAATACAAATGTGTTTGACCTCCCTGATGACCATCAGGCCAAAGGCCTTTGCTGTAGCTACACATAAAATCATACTTAGGAACAATTTGCTCTTATTACTAACTGTCGCTTCTCAAGGAACAATGTTACTCAATAGGATGCAGTCCCAGTGTCATACAGTACACTGTAAGACATACCCAGGGAGTGACTCGGAGTCAACCTACAATGCTGCCTGGTAATGCTATTCCGACTTCATAAAGGTTCGTCCCGAAACGACGCTAAGCCAAAACATATGTCAAGGAACAACACCGCGCCCATACATAGTCATTGTTCAAGACTTGTATTGGCCTTTGATCATTCGTCAATGGAATCCATCGTCATTCAAAAGACTTTGAGCCGGTGACATGCCGATTGATCAGTTCGATTCCCGTCGGTCGTCGCGATGGTGCAGGGGTATCGTTTGAAGTCATTGAGACGGCGTTTCACCTTCGTCGTCGCTATCCACCTCCCATTGTCGTTCAATATCATCAACGAGATTCAATGCAGTTCAATAGATGCGAGAAGATGTCGCTTAGCAGTAGTGTTGCTCCACCGTAAGCTTAAATACTGTAGAATTCCCACCCTTCGCGCGTGATCTCGTAGGGAAGTCGGAAAATTGTCATTTCATATCGTTACTTTACCAGATTTTCGCACGCCTCTAAAGCAGTTATCCAAAATGGCCACCGCAATCCAAATGCCTCCCCTGAAGGGGGATATTTTGGTCAATGGAAACCACTTTATGATCGGATTTTTTGTGTGCTGCGGCCTATACATCCTGTCCCACTCTCCAATCCTTGTGGAGATATTCCGCAAGGCACCTAGGTACTGAGTTCAGATATTAAATGCCTTGACTGTGTCACAAGATCAAGGACAGTAACTAACTCATGCCTATTACAGTGCCCCGGTCACAAACTACTACCTTTGCAACCAGGGTTGCAAGTGCGTTGGCTCTGCCAACAACACTGGTCCCACCGATCCTCCTCCCTCCAATCCTCCTTCCTCCACCACTGCCGCCAACAATCCCGCCAACAATCCCGCCACTGAGCATGCCACGAAGGCCCGGGCCGGGCCGAAAGAGGCAACGAGCCCGGCCCCGGACAAACGAGTTTCTACGGCCAGCAAGTCCAGCTCAAGCAGCGGCGGTGGGTTTCGGCACACCGTAAGAACCACTGCGAGGCTCCAGTCCCCCCCCGGCCTTCGACACCGGCCTGGGCACAGCCCAGCCGGCCGTGATTCGGCCCCCGATGATGGTTGGGACGGCCAGAAAGGGGCGATTCTGCCCGTTTGACAAGGGGCAATTTTTTTTTTTTTTTTTTTTTTTTCTTTTTTCTTTTGTTTTGTTTTTCTCGTTTTTGCGCTTCGGCGCCGGGCACATAGGCCGGATGGGCGGGAGGGTGCGCTAGTCGCACAGACCTGTGTTGCCTCATGTACTACTTAGTACAATAAGAATCTTGTTTTACCGCACCTTGTAGAATTCTTTACTCCTTGTCCACTGTAGCAGGCATCAGAACAGAGCCGTAGGATGCCTTGCATAAGTCATATGAATGTCACTGAGATAACCTTGCGTTCATTAGAAGACAATTCTTCCCTTGATAGTGGTGCAAACTCACCTGTCTATAGGAACTTATCTGTGGTAGATTTCATGCTAGTTACTATTCTTGGGAGCTCGGTGCACGGGCAATATTCTGTCGATGCAGGACCAGGCTTTGAGCGTTCCGAATCGGCATGGAAGGACTAATAGTAATACGAGGCGTATGCTCTCAGCCACCTGTATGTATGCCTATTTTATGGCTTTGTCCGAGGCACATCGGGAATCATACCATGACAAGCCCATTCAAGTCTTGTAAGAGTTGATCATATCCAAGCACATTGGACTTTTGTTTACCTGGAAGGACATTCATAGTCGATGATGGCGGCTCTAGACTCATGCCTTGAGGTATCTGTCTACTAACTTGAACTAATTACTCCTCAGGAAAAGAAAGCCGGATTTCTATTAGGCTTGGCATTGTATGCCTATGACTCCAAATGGAGATAATTGCTTGTATGAGCTGGTCATTGTCCTATTCAGCAACCTTTGAACGTAATAAACAAACATAGAAACAGATTAGAATGCAAGTCCAAGAGCAATCCTAGCAGAACGGCGCTACATTCTTGATCGAAGAGGAAGTGACACAGTATTTGCTTTGACGACTGAACGAGGAAGTTGAAAGATTTGACAAGTAATGTATGTAAGGGACGATGGACAAACATGAGAGCAACGTAGCTAGCCATAAGATCATAATTCAAACTCATGACACACCATAATGTAGTGCAGATGTCTATTCTGTGATTTAAATGAGAATCACTCGTGTCTCCCCGAATGTCACTGTCTTAGGCTGAGACCGACAGTACAGGCTTGCCTGGTTGATCAGCCGAGGTATTCTGGATGCTGAACTCGTCATGTAGACTGATTTCAAGATAGAGGCCCTGGGATGAACCATGTCCATTTGCTGCTTTCCCCGGGCTAAGGAATGCAAGGATGCTGCAGCTGTTAAGTTAGAAGCCGCAGAGCGCACTGGACTCGGGATACGACTGGAAAATGGACGCGTCTTCTTTTTATGCCCGGAACGCCTCGAATGGCTGCTGCGATGTCTAGAGCTCTCTGTCGATGAAGACGGAGGATTTTTCACTTCGCTATAGTCCTGACACGTATTCGAATATTCACTCGAACGGCTGATGCGATGTCCAGAGCTCTCAGTCGTCGAGGCCGGAGGATTTGTGACTTGGCTGTCGGTCTGGGGGCTGCTGTTGTAGTAACAGTTGCAGTAGCAGCGGTAACCGTTATTATAGTAGTAATTCACTGCCGGCGGATTTGTGCTGTAGGTCTTGTAGGCGTATGGATCTGTCATGCGTCCCGACGCAGCGGCGGCATTGTACCTACAAAGATAAGTTACTTGTTATGACGGTGATCCATATTCGATATACTTCTCGTGAAGCGCTACATACCTTCGTATATATAGGATCGCGTATATATGGCAAAGTATCGTTGGTACGCATATACCAGCCAATAATATGAAGAGAGTCTCCATGGTGATTTTAATGTGAACGCCACGAGTCGGATGAGGTCGTTACTCGTTCGACTCGGGAGTGATTGGAGACCTCTGTAGGCACAACCGAGGAAGAAATGTATTAACAAAAGGGACAAAGTTGTAGTCTGTAGATTAACTTGATACTCGACAACAGAGAGTAGATGGCTTGGCTGATTGAGTGATCTGGAGGAAGGTAGACGAAGTAGGTTGTATATGTTGCCTGTGGTCCACAACAAATCATGACGTATTTTGCAGCCCTCTAAGCCATTGATCGGAACCAGAATAGGTAGCTTTAGGTGAAAATTGAAAAGCTGGGCGTGTTTCTGTGTTTTTAGTTGTTCTGCAACTATTTTTAGATATCAGTTTCTCTGCTTAAGCATCTGCCTATTGCCTAGGGCCTAACATGGTTGTAAAAAATCAATATTGTATATGAAGTATATGATAGTCATCATTAAACTAATTTGAATCTGAAATCTCCATTCAATATCCCTTTCGTTGGATGAGTGGGTGGTGATAATCATTTTTCAGCTCTGCTGAATCGATTTGGCTTCCGTAAAGCTTCCTCTGGCTCTGCAGCTTCATGAGTGATCTCAATAGTCGTTTCCTGGTATACTCAGTGGGCCATATTGCCGAGCTTCACGTCGCCTTTCGGCACAATATCTTCCGTTGAGTCGCCTCGGTCATCGAGCACCCTATCGTTGATCCTTTGCAAGTCACGGCGGACCCGAGACTTGACCCGAGACTTCTCGCTGTCGGGGCCCGCAACGGTGGTGCTGACGTGCGTGTTGTACAGAGTCGAGCCGGTGTATGCGTAGTCACGGTCCGACGTGCTGACCTCGGTGTCCAGTATAATTGTTACTGTCGTTGTTGAGGTGTGCTTTCGTACCGAAAACTATGATAGAAACGATTATTCCCCTCTATGCCAGCAATCAGTAGATATCTAATATTCATAAAATATGGATATCAAAGGCTTATATAGTAGGTATATCGAAATTTTATATACATGAAATGTAAATTCTAGTTGGCCGGAATACTTAGAAATTAATTGTCTTTTTCCGTCTTCTCCTATTAGCTCGCCTTACGTCTTGAACCTCAGCCTCCATGAGCGTGTTCAATTACAGGATCAAGTCAAATTCCATCCCGGCATTCTCCAAAAGCTACGGCATAATTTATGATCTTTAATAGGGAGAATGTGTCAGGTAAAGCATTTAGTCCTTTGGACTATTTTTGGTCTGTAATTGTACAGGAGAAAGCCCCCTACCACCCACCCATACCAGAAAAACCCCCAAAAAAGACGAAAAGATGAATATTCTTTTTTTTTTATAGAGAAAAATTTTAAAAGAACCTCTGGATGTATGTATATCTACACAAACTGTCCTGGTGACAGTTTAGCCCGCTTCTTGGGCGCCGGCAAGCTTGATACCCCCCGGTGTCTCGCGGAGCCAGCCCTTGGCTGTGATCCGCTTGTCGAAGCTCCGGCATAGCGATTAAAGTGCGGCTTGACCAGCTGGCGGCCCCTGGTGGGCGCGGGCGAGGAGGACCTGCCGCCTGTAGCGGGGAGGAAGTACTGTGCCGGCAAGAAGCCGGGGGGGCCAGAAGAGGGGGCCGGGGCAGAGCCTTGAGAGCCAGAGTGGGAGCCAAGAGGAAGAGGATGTCCAGGCACCTAACTGGGGAGTAGGTACCCCTTGCGTCTTGATGGTGCGCTCTGTCACAGGGCCCTATGCCTTGAAATCCTTGATGGAGCCCGTGATGAGCTTCGAGCGGAAGCCCGAAGCGGCGAGCCTGGAGGCGATGGGCTCTTGCCCGCTAAATGCTGAGGCGAGAATTGCCCCGGCATACCCGGGGGAGGAAGACGCAGCGGAGTGGGGCTTGCTGGCAGGGGGATGGCCGTAGGGGAGCTTGCTGGACCCGCTGGTGGTGGCGGAGGGCCTGGAGGGCTAGGCGGACCTGGATGGCCTTGTTGACCCGTGGCGCCCAATTGAAAAAATGGAGGAGGATTCAACCCTGTGACATAAGGGCGCGTGCGTCCATTACCACTGCAATAGGCATTAGTGACTGTTCCTGTCCTTCTTATCGGCTCTATCAACCTTACTTCGCTGTCCCTGCACAAAACAACGGTCTGAGAGCAATGCTCTTACTGTCTGAATACCAGCAAAAATTATATGGATTGTGAAGAAAGCCGAAAAGGCTATCATCGCAACGATCGCAACCACCTTGAAGAGAGCAAACGACGCGTCCCCATATCACTGAACGTAGCGGCGTATCCCACTGTTTCCTGGCTAGGGCGCGAAGACGGTATCATGGCCATCCCGTGGCGGTTTCGTCCACTCTTTTTTGGGCAGAGGGGCCGCGCCGGCTTCAAGATCAGAGGAACATAGCTGTAAGAGTGTCGGTTCGAGCGATCGTAGAGGCGTCAAAGAGGATGGCAGACCAAGTGGTGTCCTTTCAAACCTAAATGTATAGCCATGAGACGTTAGTGTGTGCTTTCGTATTTAGTTGGAAGGGATAGATAACTGGATAGGACCGCATCGAAGACCTTACCAAGAGCTTTGCTAGAAAGAGCAAGGCTCATGGGAATCGAGTGCTGGTGGATAAAGCTGATTAAAGTGCAGTTGAGAAGCAGAGAGAAGAACAGGGTGGGAAGATCAGTTGGTCTGGAGAGAAGAAGGAAGGGACTCGGTATCATACGAGATAGAAGCAAAGGAATCTGCGTAGAAGGTTCTGTCCCCAAGGGGAAATGAGGAGAGATAGGTAGGCGAGCTATATTACATCCAGAGTGGGGCATCCATCTATGCCTTTGTTGCTTGGAGAAAGGAGCACGAAATTTTATACCTGTGAATACAAAGAGGTTTTCCTTACTAAAGCCTTCATGGCAAATGAAAGCAAGAGCAATTATGAAAGTTAGTGGATAAAGAAAAGAAACCTATGAGGCTATGACCATGATGCTAAACCAGTTAGTAGTGCTCGACTGAGTTTCAGGAAGTACAACATACTTTGCTGGGGCAGGCGCTATTCACTAAAACTTGCTATTAATGTTTACAATAACAGTCACCTTTCAACTACCTATACTCATAGCATTGTAATATCATACTTATACCAAGTCTCGCTGCGCCAACATGGAAGGCAGAGATGAAAATTTAGATATAGATTAGTACACGCACGACATTTCAATTTTCAACTCAGTTTACTTATTCCGGTTCCGATCAATGGCTTGCCATACGAGAGGGGGCGAAATATGTTATGATTTGTCGTTGATCACACAAAACATATACATACTTCGTGCACCTTCCTCCGGACATCAACTCTCTTGTCGAGTACCAATCTACAACCTTGCCTTTTATAAAACAATTCTTCCTCACTTGAGTTAGTAGAGGCCTCAAAATACTCCCAAATGGACATGGCCTCATCCAAACCTTGTGGCCTTTATATTAGAGTCACCATGGAGTCGGCCCCTATCTACATAACTTGTGCCATTGCGATGCTACTCCTACTTGGAGCATTGGCTGTCGGCCAGCATGGACCTAGGTATGTAGAACTTCACCAGAAGTACATTACATATGGATCACCAGGATAACAAGTATCATCTTTGTAGTAAAGTCGACTCAGGGCCGGGATGCATGTCTCCATATCCAAATGCGTGTGAGGACTACAGCGAAGTCACAAATCCTCCGCCGACAGATGCCTCTATATTTGATTCCTACTACCGCTATTGTCACTACTACTACAACTACTACAACTACTACAACTACTACAACTACTACAACTACTACAACTACTACAACTACTACAACTACTACAACTACTACAACTAC